CTCTCTCACACACACACACACACACACACACACACACACAAATGTGGCAGTGTATATTTCTATGTTGCAGCGGTACATTCACTCGATTTTGCTCGTCGTTTCAAGGAGGCCAGCCGCGACGTTGGAGACCTCTCTCTCTCTCTCTCTCTCTCTCTCTCTCTCTCTCTCCCTAAAATAAAAAAACAGTAAAATAAATCCCTAAACAAACAGTAAAATAAGTATTTAAAAAAAAATGGTGTGCGCACCCGGCGCACCTGCGCCCCGCCAGCGCGCACCCCCCAGCGCACCCGGGTGCGCGCGCACCTCGGGTCCGCGCACCGCACAGCGCGCGGCGCACCACGCAGCGCACAGGGTCGGTGCGCCGCAAGTATGGTTCAGATCCAACCAGCTTCAAATGGCTATGGCGCCTGTGCGCCCTCACAACTCCCTTCCACACTGTATCCTCAGCACTGTTCACACACATGCTACTCTGGATCTCCCTGGATATCCCACACACGCATAGAACTCACTGCACACTCACTCACATACACGCTGTAGACTACCTCTAACCTATGGCAGCTATGGCTGCGATCTACCTCTACCCCGAACTAACGGCTATGGCCGCTTCGTCTCCCTTCAGCTCATTGTTTCCATGGGCACTTGCAGACCTCCTTGCACAAGTCGCTCAGGCAGTGCTTCCGCACGGCTCACAGTCTGAATGAATGAATAACTTGATGCTGCCTCTTGATTTATACTTCAGTTGGTCGCTGGTCTGCTCCTTTCCATCGGGCCTAGGATGCACACAGTCCCACATGGTACTTGCTGACTGGACGAGGTGCGACTGGGACTGGTACCGATGACTAGACCTGGAAAGTCTGTCCACTTGCCCACTTGCCCACTCGCCTACGGACTGCTTCTCAGACTCTCGAAGGGGCAGTCCTGGAAGACTCTAGACCTTCCTACTTGCCCTTTCGGTACCGTAGCAGCTACGACTACGTTGACCCTTCACACCTACACCAGCTACGACCAGACATAGGCTATGACTCCTATCCTACAGGTAAGCAGCTCGAACCTACTCAACCCTTGTATCTATAACGGCCTTAGACAGACAACTTTAGGGGCAGATCACGGGTTCAAACATTGATGGGGCAAAGTGTACTGTACACGGGTTCAGGGCAGGTCTAGGGATCGAGCCCTGGTCTGTATCTCCTACTGCAAAGGTCAAAACCGTTTCAGGAGAGGGGAAAGAGAGGAAAGAGGGGAGAGGGGAAAGAGGGGAAAGAGGGGAAAGAGGGGAGAGAGGGGGGAGGGAACGAACGGAGGAGGGTTGGAGAGGAGAGGAAGTGAGACACGAGTAGTAAAAATGGGATCCTTCTCCAATGAAAGGGTTTCACCCAGTTCGTGCAACAATTGCAGATACCGGGGCTTGATCCCCAGACTTTCCCCAACCCAGTGTACAGTACGTTTGTGTTGTTCGTTGGCCCCGTGTGCCTTGAACCCATGACCTGTCCCCAAACCTGTGTATAAAAATGCCTTGTGTGTGAAGCCCGGGTCGTGTGGATTTGATCCGTAGGTCTGTTGCTTAGAAGTCTTAGGGTCGTCTGTAGGTGTCCCGAAAAGGCAAGTTTACAGTTGACCTTTCGAAAGGTAAACTGGCCATACGTCCTCTGAAAGGTCAGTAGGTCATGGCTAGGTTAGGTCTCGAAGAGTCACCTTGCAGAGGCAGCCCGTCAAATCTCTGAAAGGTCAAGACTCCCAAGTCAACCCCGAAGGGGCACATGCAAAGGCAGTCCCAGTCCAGTCCGTTTTGCGAAGTACCAGAGTGGGACTGCACATCTTGAGGGCCTGGGACATTGGGCAGGCCCAGACCACCAAACGAAACAGTATAAATATAGAGGCAGCGATCAGTCATTCACTAATTCTGAGACAAACTGCGCAGAAGCACTGCTTGAGTGTCTTGTGTATGGAGTCACAGGTTGTCAGCAGGAGAGCCCAGGTTGAAGAGGGCAAGCGACCATAGCCGCTAGGAGGAGGAAGACGGCGGCGGTCATAGCCGCCTGTGCGTAGAAGATAGTAGATAGTGTGTGTGAGTGCAGACATTCAGGGTAGATCCAAGTATTGTGTGCGTACGTGCGTGTCTGATGGTGGATACAGTGTTCAGGTGGGAATTTCAGACTGGCGCTCAGACGCCACAGGCACAAGATGTGACAAGTTGTCTTGAGACGAGTTCCTGGCCGAAGGCCATATCCCTGAGTTTTCTGTGTGGGCACTGCACCATCTCAAGCTTGTTGCTGATTCTGCTTTGAGGAAGTTGTTTTGCCATCGGCATCTGCATGTATGCATGTTGGACGTGAAATCGAGACGACTCTGAATGCACCAATAGAGTAAGGAGGGAAACGAGGTAGAGGGAGGAAGAATGGGATCTTTCTGCAATGCATATCTAGCATCAAGAACAAGGGAGGATGCTAAAGAAGGAGAAAGCGGGGTAAAGGGCTTGCCAGTAAAGAACAGACGAAGCAGGGTAACAGGGTCGCCAGCAAAGAGCAGGCAGTCGATGAAACGCAATGGAGAGATTTGAATAACAGGGTCGCCAGCAAAGAGCAGCCAGGGGATGAAACGCAATGGAGAGATTTGAATGTAACTGCGATGAATGCTCTCGCTGGAAGACCATGAGACCAAATGCCACCAGCGGCCTGTATAACAACTAGTGCTGAAACAATCAACATACACCACACCATCCCCTTGCTCCCTCTATGCTGAAAGATAATTGTATGAAGCGCGCGCACACACACACACAGAAATAACGTGCAAGTGGCCCGTGAAGGCACACGGGGATGTGACAATCAACGTGGGCAGCCTTGTACGTAAGAGGCACAGTAAAAAGGGATCTGCAAGAACAAATGGAAGGGGTACCCCAAGGACAACCAATAAACTGTCTAATTATAAAATAATAAACTGTTTAATATGTTGGACTGTCTCATCTCAAATGCTCTCGTTGTCTGCGATAGAACAAAGACTGCTTTGATTCTGGGTGGAATTGGGGCTCTTGTGGGGAAAATCTAACACACACACACACACACACACACACACACACACACACACACACACACACACACACACACACACATGCCCCCCTCCGTGCCTGTAATCAACCGCATTAAGGAAACAACTGCCCACTATCCTGCACTGCAACAATGTCCAGCCACAGGGTAGAACAGAAAGGTAATAGACAACCAAACACCAAAGACAATTCCAATCTGTCTCCGACAGAGTTGCCACGAATAGGTAGATAGCAGGAAAGGCCACAATGCCGACGGAGAGGACTATCCGTCAATCACTGGATCGACTGCCAATTTGCATTGCATAAATCAATCGACGTATTGACTGAGGGCACCTGCTTAACGTCTTTCATGAAAGAAGAAACAATCAATCTGATGTACGAGTGATGATAGGACTATCCAGTAAATAAAAGAAATAACAAAAATCTGATCTTAGATATTATACATGTTGTGAAAGAAGCAATTCAACTGCCATTTAAATTGTTTGACAGTTCAATCCATCTGCCTGCAAATTGAGATGAAGAGGGAGGCATCTTGCAAGAATTCACTGGATCCACACTTGATGGAAGATCAGTAGATCAAGACTAGCTGGACCCATATGGAAGAGAGACGGAGAGAGAGTATGTGCTAATCATTGAAATTCCAAAACGAAAAAAATACAACACACAAGTGGTCAATGCTAAGCACCGACTAATGGAAAAAAAAGAAGCAAAAGTCCCTCCTCCTCTCTCAGTGCTTCTCTCTAGGAGAGAGCTGGGGCTCCACAGAACCGTCGACCGCAGTCTGTGCACATTATATGTGACGGGTGAGAAGGCGAGGGGAGCACAGGCAAGCAGAACGGCGCTAACCTGTGCCATATACTGAGAATCCCAGCTGCTACCGCTTCCCCTTCGGTAATCATGGCCCAGAGAATTCATGGTGTTTACTATGTTCTCACCATGCTAGCGGAGGTGATGCAGGCACTCACCGCTAGCAGGACAGGGCATGGCTCCAGTCTATTAGCAGCACCTGCTGGAAAACGGGTCCAGCATCCCTTATACATAAAATGAAGCCCATGAGACTACATGATGACTGATGTCTGAGTGGGAAGAATTGGATGTGTCTAGCGGCTCTAGCCTCTTCAGCCCACCGGGGCCGCCTGCAACTACTGTGTGACAAAGCAAGTAGACACACCACCGTTTCTGAGTTCAACTGCTGCAAAAAGTTGCCCGAGGAGCGAGCACTTGCTGGCATGCAACCACAGGACTGCTGTCCAGGGGTCCTGGCCAAACCATTGCAAGTCCACCAGGGCCAGCTCAGACTGAGGGAAACATGTCCGGGAAATGCCCCAGGGCTCTCAGTGGTATCCCGACGTCAATCTTCTGCCAATCATGAAATATAACCGTGTGTTGTCCCCTATTCCCATCAAGGAAGAAATGGAATCCGACGTGACAGCCCGTCACAGACAGGAAGGCAGACACGATTTGCACCCATGCACAGAGAGCTTCACAACACGACTTCACTGATTACAAAACCCGCAAACCTTGGTGGGTTGATACGGCATCAAGGATATGACTCTGCAGTTAAGGAAGGAAACTTTGGTTACACCGGTTAGGCTTACCTGCTACTCTCTGGACTGTTGTTTTCGAAGTAATTGAGGATTCGCAGCAAGCACCTCGTCATCAGTATTCCCTCTGGCACTATATCATGGGATGTCCTGACATACAAAGCACGTGCAGCTGAACCGGCTGCAGCTCGGAGAGTGGGTGAGTATTCTGAGACAAACAAACAGTGACCAAGGGCCCGGCACAACGGCCTCATCAGCTCCACGGACAACGCAACTCTCTTAACTACAACCTGTTCGCCATTGCCTCCTCGCCCACATCCATTAGCACCTGAAGTTCCCTCCCCTCCCATCCTCTTTCCATCACCTCTGCACACATTGTCCACAGACAGGCCACTCTTGTGACTGTGAGGGGTGCCTTCGGTAGGGTCAAAATTTCCTCCACTGTCATTCGCCCTCGTTGCTATCCGCAAGTTGGCCAAACCAGCCGTTGCAGAGTTCATGGCACTGGCTGGCCCCCGGCTGCTACCTCTCGTTTCCTGCTCAACAAGTCCATCTGATCCCAATTTCCATCGACCTCCAGCTGCTGTAATCTCTGCTCCGTGTTCACTGGCAGCCAATGATTCACCCTCCCACTTTCCTCTCCCGTTCTCAACCGACACTCCATTCACCCCTTGCATTGATGCTGTCCCATTGAGTGAATCTCTACTGCTGCTGTTTTCCGTTGGGATAGGGTCAGGAAGCCTTCCGATACCTCTCCACAAACAGCCCCGCAATGCAATTCCCTCTGCCATCACACACAAATCAAACTTTGAACTCTCTGGCATGTCTGCAATCCTGCGAACAAAGAACTCGAGAGCGACAGATACAACAGCCACGCGGTCCGCGGGCTTGACACCATGCAGCACCCGCAAGGGTGGAGAGATTTGCACAGTCTTAAATCCTTGAGGCTGTTGTAAGTTCCCAACCGAGAGCGGCAATCGCCCTCCATACCAGCTCCTTCTCGTGACATGATGGCTGTGAGAAGGTGGAGGTGGGGTGTGGTAGATGCTTGGAGCCGAAAGCGATGGGACTTTGATTGTCACTGACTTCCCAGCCCGTGCTTTGACTTCTGCAGTGTATAGAGCCAGCAGCACTGCCTCGAATCCAGCCAGGTCCTCTTCATCCGATCCACTGGAGGAGCGTGCTAAGTATACAGCAGAGAGAAGGGGCACAAACGCGACCGTGATGGCTTGCAGATCATCGTTGCCACTCTGGAAACACTCGTAGAACCAACAGCACACCTCATCATCTCCTCCTCCAGAGCTGCTTTCAATCAAAACATTGGACATGGCCGCCAGAATCCCCTCGTTGCACAGAAACCGCCTAGCCGAAGCATGCCTCGAGCTGATTTGCTGAATCAGGCTATAAAGATGCTGCTTCCTCTCATCGCTGCTTGCTGACAAACAACGCTCCAGAGACTTCACCCCGTCATGGGGAACACTCGACATTGCGGGCATGCCAGCGATGGTGTATATTCTACCCTCCTGCAAGCCCTCTGAGTTCTCCTCCTCTGGGTGTTCCTTGATAAGAAGAAGAACGGTAACTCTACACAAAATTACAGACTTCACCCCGTCATGGGGAGCACATGCGATTTTAAACCTTCCGACGCATCCTATGCATCCTACGCCTTGCACACGACCCTCAAGCTTAGTCTTACTGGAAGAAAGGTCCGCCAAGTAATACAACTGCTAACTGACATACTAATACCATCGCCAATCATGCATGCCAAGCAATCCAACTGCCGATATGGTGGGCAATCCGTCCCCACCTTTGCAGTGACATCATGATTGCCGGATTGTACACACACTGATCGTGAGACAATCACCACAGCGTGTCCATGAGATGATCTCCAGATGGTCCGCAATTGCAGCTGCAAAGCTGGCTTCCAATAAAGGCACTGGCACACACGTAGCCCACATACAAAGACACACAAGCAGAGAGCCAAGTCTTGTTCATCATCCTCTTCATTGCCGTTCTAAATGGATGCAGGTACGAACAAAGAAGAGGAATACGAAGCTCCTTCAGATATAGGATCTTTTCTTCAACAAACAACGGAAAACTTCTTTGACCCTCGTCTAATGGCCAGCCGACAGATGAGCCGCAGTGAACAAGAGAGGGAGAGAGGGAGAGAGATGGTGATTTTCATAGGTCCATTTGCTGAGCAACTCGCTCAACAGGTGAGAGCTAGTGGATAGAAAGACACACGACACGGCGATGACCAATTCGCTGAGTGATCGTCGGAGACAGATACCCAGTACTGACAGCAGACGAACACAGAGCACAGAGAAACAGACTATAAAACAGCTGGAACAGTTCCTGACTACTGAATTCACATCTGTATCCTGTCGCAGGGAAAGGGGGGAGGACAGGAACAGCTAGCTTCCAATGCGTGATACCCTGCCCCCCGTGCAAGGTGAGAGAAGATGAGGGCCGTACTCTTCGCCATAAAAATGAATGAAGGTTACCTGCCTTCCACATCTGGGTTCGGCACATCCTGCATTTCCATGTTCACCCGGGCTCTCAAGCGACTCTGAACTTCCTCCGCCTTTCAGTTTCTGTATATTGTGAGCAAGTGGAATGTGGCAAGTGTCTATTTCCATGTTCACCCGGGCTCTTTCAAGGCCATCGTCTCCCCTTTTTTCGTATACGCAAGGCTCAGCTGGGACCACTCGCCAGCTGTGGAATGTGGCAAGTGTCTTGTTCCAAAACGAAAACACCATTTTTTTCTCTTTGTAGATATTTGCGAAATCACACAGATGTCCAAGTAGTCATGTACAAGCAGAGAGCACAAATGCACCGAGATTCCATCCAAATAAGAGAAATACAATGAAGTAATGAGCCAATGTTCAAGCCCTCAGGCCACACCAACACAATATCCAAAGTCGCTCCTCTCTGTCTGGCGCCCAGCGCCCAGCCTACACTACTTCACTATCCGACCTACATCAGCACTCTCGCAACAGGCTCACTTCAACTCTCGAAGACCAATGTACATGACGTCAACACCATAGCCGACCTCTCTCATGTACCAAGTATGTATCTCGTCTCCCCTCATCAGACCCTATCCACCCACACTCGCCTCCTTCATGAAGACCACCGATCGCCCTCTTAACCCCTAGCACCCTGCAGCCCGGCTATGGCTGCTAGCGCTCCGCTGCCCAGCAGCGCCCCTCTCACCTCTCGTGCGCCCCGCAAGCGCCCTGGCCACAACGCAGCACGCAGCCTCTAACGCAGCAGCGCAGCAGCATGACCGCATTGCCTGCGTGGGCCAGAACACCTGACCCTGGCTGCCTTCCTTCCGATATGGAAGTGGCAGCTTCTGCTTGGCTGCATGTGGCCTGGCTGGAAGCTTCCAATAGCTTCCAGTCGGGCCCCAGTGCCTGCGGCCAGGCCCGGTGCTACAGTTGAGGGACTGCGCCCTTTACAGTTGGGCACGGCCGGAGTCTCCAGACTTGAGCCGTTGGCTGCATTTGCACAGGACCCAGGGTATGTACGTCGACAGTGCTGTTTTTCCGTGGGCCAGTGGCCACTTCGTGCCCTGCATTGTGTATATGTGCCCAGCCGCAACAGCCAAGGCCAGGGCCAAACTGTACGACGCAGCTTAGGGAGGTTCATGCGTCCACTCAACCAACTGGCGGGCTGCAACAGCCTGAGTACCCACATATGCAAAATGTCAAATTTTGGCCTTTAGTGAATATTCAGGACCACCTTCACTTAGGGCGGGGGCACTTGGCTTGCTGGGGGCCTCTGCCCAGAACATGTGCATGCTTGACAAGGGGCCCGCGAGGGCTCATTCCTCCATTATTCATTTTTTTGCGTGTAGAGAAGGTGAGCATGGCTGCTTTGCAATAAACACGTGTCATTCTTCACCAGCGGCCATGAGTGGAGCAGCAAGGCCCTGGGCTGTTTTAATTCCCCAAACAGGGGTTTAGACCACCAGTACACCCGGGCCTGATTTCCCGAACTGACGCGCCCCCTGCACGCCCATATTTTCCGACCCTAAAAGCTGGGGGTACCGGTAACGGGAATCGCTTTCTGGTGCCGGTACCGCAAAGGGATAGGATTTCTGGCCGCTATCCTGGATTTCTCAGTGGCGGAAAAAAATTTGTCTCGTAGCCTGCTGCTGGGCGTACGAAGTTACTTAGCGTCTTTTTTTTTTTTTTTTTTTTTTTTTTTTTTTTTTTTTTTTTTTTTTTTTTTTTTTTTCATTGTTGTCTCAATCTGCCGTACTTTTTCACATACTGGATAGATGCGTGGCACCTCCTTCCACCCCTACTTCACCTTTTCTTCACGCTGCTAGTATCTCTTGGAGCAAAGTGACAAAGATGAAAGGAAAAAATCGTTGCCACGTGGCAAACGTTTTGGGCAGCACAACCTCCAAACCCGCAGATTAGACTGTCACAGGAGAGCCATGGAGGAGGAATCTACCACATCCTCGTAGTATAGGAGCTCACTGTTGAGGTCCCGTAGAGCACATTAGATTCAAAAAAAATGTCGGTGAACATTTCCACGCTGAAGCAGTAGATTCAGTGTCCTCTCACTCAATAATGAAAAAAACGCGCATGATATCAACCACGGCTCCACTTCCAGCCATCAATCAATCAATCCATCAAACAACCATTCTGTTGTTTATATTTTACAACCTCCTTATTTTGTTTATTTCGTTCGTTGTGAGTGCATAACGAAAGACCTTCGTTTTCGAGACGAGGTTGACGCGAGTGTTCCCCTTATGGGCCTATGCCCATGTGAACGCTCGCATGAAGCTCATCACGAAAACAAATGAAAGAAAATACAGAAAAGGACGACAATGAAACAAGTAAACATAGATACGAAGAAAGAAAAACTTCGCCACCTCGTGCGCGCACGCGTGTGTGTGTGTGTGTGTGTGTGTGTGTGTGTGTGTGTGTGTGTGTG